TGCTTGCTAGCGAAATGAGCCAGTATGTAGCAGTCACCATAAGTACTCAAAAAAAGTACTCCTGCAACCCGTAAAATAAACATACAATGCTCGGTTTCCTTCTTGGCCTGATAACCGTTCATTTACTATAGTTTACCCCTATTACTAACCTGGAATACAGGAAAGGAATAATTAGGCAGGGAGACGTGACTTCATATCGCTGAGTTCTCCGCCATTATGAGAAAAAAACCCAGCGAAGCACGCTAGATGGCTGCAGTCCATCGGGTAAACCAGTCTCACACTGCCACCTACTGGTGTAAAAAAGTATTGTCCTATCCATAACACTGGGTTATGTCATGTTTTGAGAAAACAAGATGTTTACATGAAAAATGCACATTTACCCTTAATGCCATTATATACATTCAAACTAATGTGATCACACATTGGTTGGCCATCACATTAACACACACACTATGGAAAAACAGAATGATAGTACCGTGTAAATACAATGAGGCTAGGGCACAAAATCTCTTTTCCAATTTTACAAGACCAAAATTTGTGCTTTTAGGTGTCAAGTAAGTTTGGGCTCCTAGCAGACAAGTCCACATCTCAGTGTCTAAAGCAGATTTATGTATATGTCTCAAGCATACAGTTTTGTGACACAGTACTGCAGAGCATCAGTCTCTCAAATGTACTGTAAGTATTTCACATGTAAACAACATGTTCATCAGGTTAGAGACTGTAACATTAAAACCACATCCCTGTGGTGCAGTGATACATCCAACAAGTACAAAAACTGATGTGGTAGTTATTTATTTGTATTTCATATGACATACTGCAACAAAAACATACCAAGTAAATTCATCATGCCAGTCATATAAAATGTGCCAGGAAAAAATATATTCTTAAATTTCAGCAGACTTACCCGGTAAACAATAGTGAAGAGAACAGTGTTAACTGTCATGTGTGGTGAACAAGGCAACAGGAAGGTTGACCCAAACACAGACATGCAGGCAGGCAGGGTGGCACATGCTGTGAAGAGGCTTTCACAAAAACAAAAAAATCATAAAGATAACCAGGGAGGCAGCCAAGTAGACACAGGTGAGGAAACAGGAACAGTTCCAGGATCCAAAACAAAGCTGGTAACAAACCCAAGGCAAAAAATCCACAGCAAATGTGAAGACCATGACAGTCAAACAGGAAGCAGGGGGAACTGGCCAGTTTAAATCATAATGAGGAAACTGGGAACAGGTATGTCAGTGAGCAAGAGGGCAGGTGACATGAAAGGGAGGGAAAGTCTGGGGACCTCTGGTGGCTGGAGGAAAGATGACAGGAGACAGACCGAAAGACCAAAATAAACCCGGCTGAGACAGGAACCATGACAATTAACAATCTAATATATGCATCATTCAATATTTAGATGCCACTGGGTATATCTGCTCTGTAGTGCCTCTCAGTTACCCTACAGGGAAAGCATTGCCCTGGCGCAGGAGTCACACTCAAGTTGTGCTGTTGAGCACAATTTTTATTTATTTATTAGGTTATTTTAGTTTTATTTTTCATTACTCCACTCCTCAGAGTTGCTTTCAGGCTGCCAGTTAGCTTAGTTATTGAATGGTTAAATAGATTAATCTATGTTGCTCTGTTTTATTTGGATAGAGATTTGCTTCCCAGTGAGTCAGTTCATTGTCCCTCGAGTCTTTAAACACATATATTTTTTTTTAACCTTTACTGTTTTCGTTCAGGGTAGGTTCACTGAGAGGCCACCTCTCTTTTTCAGGAACGCCCTGTTCCCATTCACACAGTTACACATTCACATCTGGAAGCTGCCCACAGACTCACCTGTGGGCACTGAGCAGCTCCACTGGAGCAGTTTGGAGTTAATTGCCTTGCTCAAGGGCACCACAGTGGTGTTAAGGATATCATAGTGTCAGTGATGATCCTTCAGTTCCTCGGTCTCTGGATCACCACACACCACTGAACACCAGACTAAATACAATCTAAATCAAGCTCATTATGTGTCACAATATGTTCTTTTTGTTAAATCCATGACCCTGAGCACAAAACAACTGAAGTCTCCAGACAACAGTGTAGGAAGGCAAATAAAAGGGATCACTAGGATAAAAAAATCTGCTGAAACTCATCTGTGGAGTGCAGTGGACGAGGATAATGAACTGTAGTTAACTGGGAACCTTTTGTATATCTATTTGCTTTATATAACAGTTGAATGTCTGTTTGTTTATCTGCACATTTTGGCAAGAATGTAACTACACTGAGAGCCCATAACAACTGTAGTCAAATTCATTCTGCGAGCATACGTTGCCAATAAATAAACTGGATTCTTGTAATTTTAGATGAATGTTATGAGTCCCTTCTAGCTAACAGTTTGCTTGGCAACAATCTCATGATCAATACACTTTCCTCTGGTATCTTTTTTCTGTCACTTTTCAGTGCTATGTGACAATTTGATTCCACTTCTGATACGTGCCTGACGGGTGTTTTTTTTTTTTCTTCTGACGCCCCCCTGTTGAGGATCATATGATGCTCTTGTGTTGCTTTGTAATGTTTTGCATATGGCTCCAGGGCGAGTGTCCAAACTCTGAGTTGAATGGTGTTTTTGTTCAACATGGACCATCCCCAATGAGAGCAAGCATGCACACGGCGACCTCAAACAAGGCTGTCAAGATGTCTGTGGAGGCCTCACGCCAACACACCCCACCAGGCAGCTACTGCCTGCCAGCCGCCCATCTACAAATAATCTACTGTACTGTGGGAGGAGGTGTCAGTCTGTTCTGTCAGGGTGTACAGTGTGAATCCAGCCCTGAGTGAAAGTTTCAAAGCTAGCACATAGAGAACTAGGTAATGGAATAATCTGGAAAGTGCTGAGAATATAGGAGTGTTTGAATTTAGGTAAAAATCAAACCTATTTTTGAAACTTAAGCCATATTTTGTGGTTTCTGGACATGGTTAGATTACTGAATGGGCCTTCTGGGCACAGAACCAGGAGGTCAAGAGTCAGGGGGCCCTAGGACCCTCTGTTTGAAGCGACTTTTGATTGGAAAGTTGCTAAAACAACTACAAAGAGACACATAATGATCCCAAAAGACACCAAACAACCACAAAACACCTTTAAGAGATCCAAAATTACCACAATAGAACCACTACAAAGAGATAAAAGTAACAAAAGATGCAAAACAACCACAAAGGGATGAAAAATGCTACAATGATGCACAAATTTATCCCAAGGAGAAGAGCTGACATGTCTGTGTAGATTAATTGGGACTGGTAGCATTGACATACTATCAAAAATGTTATGTCAGTTTTTCTTCGCATGTGCATTAATATGAAAGTGGATTTAAGCCAAATGTATTTTAATTTGTGCTTTATAATTGATATTTCACAACTATCTTTGGCAACCTTCCCCAGACCATGATGAGTGGCATGCAGCGCTGACATCACTGTAGGACACAAGGTTTTGTGTTTTATTCATTTCAGAGTGAACAGCACTTCGACTTGTATTACAGAACAGCCAATCAGATTCTGACAGCCCAGTGATCGGCTGCCATGTCAAACTCCATTAAGCGTGATTGTGATAGCTGCAGGGTCCATGCCATAAATTCCTAAGTGTTCTGTTCACACTTTTTTGCCGTGATATTTTTAGTTCATCTCAATTCCCTGTGACAAATACTGTCAGTTTGACCACTTTTCACTGAAAATCACATTGTAAAATGCTGCATAAAAACAGTTGTATGGCTTTGCCCTCATTGCAAATTGCTTACAGACAGTTGAGTTAACTGCAATCAGTTTGTATAAACAACATGAAAATATAGCTCATGCTACCAAGCCAATATAGTGTCTCACAGGCCTGGCTGCTGACACAAATTATGTACATGCTGAGGCGACAAGGCAGATCCTGAGAGGTGCACTAGGGAACAGGCTATAATGCAAACTCTGAACCTCGGCCACACACTTCAGAGACACTCTGAAGACATGTTCCCCGAAAAGGGAAGGGACACAAACTCTTTTTGGAGGAAAATGTATTAAGCTGCACACAAATACTGCATTGCTTCAGCATCTAGCAGCCATCTAGGATGCTGTAGTGAATGTAAATATTTCTGACTGAAAGTTTCTTCAGGAATGAATGTGTAGCTTTTGTCACTAGGGCAAATGTGCTACTAAACCCCAAATACCAGAAACCAGTCTTTATAAAATGAAACCTGAAGTTAATCCACCACACCGCCTTGCTGTTCAGGTCCAGTTCCCCTCCTCCAGTGTCATGTTAAGTCTGAGGACTGTGGTGTTCCTTCCTGACCATCGCAACAACTCATCTGTCACCATCAAACATCAGCATTCATCTTCGCACAAGCTGCCAAATCAATACTCAAAACAATATGTTGTATAAAGCTGCTGGTTTCAGATGAACACAAGCCAACAAGCCTTTAAACCTTCAGTAGCTGAAAAAAAACGCCACCCTACTGTGTGACATCTCTATTATTTCCTCTTGATGGGTGCTTCAAGGGAGTTTCAGTTGGCTTTCTGCCAGTATAACTACACATCTTATAGCCTGCTGTCAAAATATTTATCTCCATGTGCTTTTACTTTCTCTTCTACTAATCCAAGGATTTTGGGGAATGCAGTATCTATAAAAAGAACAGAAAGAAAAATACCAGATCATATCTTTAAAGTGAAAGAAGAGACCAAATGGCAGTAGGGGCAGCAAACAGGTGACAAGTGAGGTAGAAAATCCTGAGTAGAGGAACTGAGGAAACTGTGGATACATGAGTGCTAATACACAGAGAACTATAAGAAATGAAGGACCTCTGTTGTAGACATGACCCTACAGAGATATACTGTTAATTATAGGGAGATGAGTGTCCACTAAGTGTCGGTATGAATATAATGGTAATTTATGGCTTGTAGAGACTCTTGAAGTCCTGTGCTGAGTTAATATTCCTGGGAAGCCCCACCTCCACTACCACCTTTTATGTTAATTTTAGCGTGATCTCTGCGCGCACTGGAGCCGCTGCGAGCTCCATCGGCTCCTTCCCGCTGCTTAATATCGATGAGGCTTTGGACAGACACAGCCTGCTGCTGAATCACTGTCGGGACTTTTTGTGAACGTCGTCATGTCTGTATAATGTCGCCGCGGAAGACGCGCAGCTGAAAGTGAATATTGTGGATCCATCCAGTAGTTACAGAAGAGGTGAACGCACCTTGCATCCAGCCATGGGAGGTCAGATCACCAGAAATACCATCTACGGTAAGAACATTGGCATCACAGGACCGGAAAGTCTTTACTGACTCTTTATTAATATTGAAGCCAGTGATATTATAATAGGAGGCTACATAATCGGGTTGTAAGCGTGCTTGTGCAGCCTTAAGCTTGTGTGCATGAAAACTGTAGGCGTCCTGAACACTGAAATACATGAAGAGTGAAAGTAGCTGCTTTAGCCAAGTTTTGCAACCTTCTGTAAGTCACGACTGGCTCTGAATAAAAGGAAATATGAACAGGATATAATGTTTTTCAAAAAAAAAAACAACCTGATAATCCTCCACAGCATGCTATTATAAAAACACACCAGAGATGCACTTTTCTCAGTCTTCCTTTCGAAGCCTGTTTACATTAGGCTATAATGAAAAGTAACCAAACTGGATCAACTGAACAAACTCATAACTTTCCCCAGGCGGTTTGCCTTCGTTTGCCTTTGTTTGACTTTGCCTGTAGCTGAAATGAACACAAATATAATATAAAACGTTTTTGTCCTTTCTTGTTACTTATTTGGAAATTGATCATATAATGTACATGTCTCAAATGCTGATAGTTGCATTGCAGTTTTTAAAAATCCATTTCATATTTAGATGAAGCTTGCAGAATCTTTATAGCCAGTTAGTTCATACAAGTTACAGTTTAGCATCTCACCTTTTTGTTATTCATAGGTTATTTGCAAATACAGTCACTGTTGGGAGGAAGGATACTAGTTGTTTTTATTTGCTTGCTGACACTGACAAATACAAATAACATGTTTAAACCCATTTGCTATATTCCAGATTAACACTGTATCTTACTGTAAATTACTTCAGTTGTATGGTTAATTCGTTATTGCTGTTTTATTCAGATTTTCCTCAAGTTTACTCAGTTGCTTTATCAAACATTACTGTATTGGACATTGAGTTACAACAAATAATTGATTAATCAATTAATCAACTGCAAGAAATATAATTTAAAAAATATTGATAATCAGTCAACTGTTTAAACTTTTGTCAAATAGGAGGATTTGCTGCTTTTTATTAGTTTATATTCCTTTAAATTGAATTTTTATGGATTTTGGGCTTTTGGTTTGAGCCATTTTAGGATGTCACCTCAGACTTCAGGAAATTGTACTGGCCAGCTTTTCTAACATTTTATATGCAAAAGATTAAAAAAATTAATCAAGAAAATTCATAATCAAAATTATTGATAGTGGGAATAATCATTAATTACAGTCATAACTGATGGTAATTATACTTATAAATTAAGCCTGTAGGACTCATTTGTTAATGTTGCATTTGATGAGGTTGGCTTTCAGTGACTTTGCATAGGTAAAGATGGAGCGTTCAGCAATGACAAGATGTCTAAATATTACATAAACTGACATTGTTTGGCTATAAAGCAGACACATGTACGGTATAATGGATTTTTGGTTTTGAGTTGTTCTGATGATGCTAAATGATATACAGTACAGTACATGACCCATAAACATTTCAAAATTCCCAGAAGGACAGATGAACACAGGCCAAGCCACACGGTCTTTTTCCCAGTTTTACTATAAGGCGCCACTGGTATGAAAAAAAAAATATAGGTGCAGGCGCTGCTAGAAATTCTTGGCACTCTGACAGGAACTCGGTCAGGGTCCTGAAATTATAAATATCTATAATCCCTGTCATGTCTCAGGGCCCATGTTCAGCTCTGGGGCTCATGAATCATTCAGCTGTATCTTCTCCCCATTTGGTAAACCTAGATGATACTCTTGTTTAGGCATCGCAGTATGACGTTAGCAAAGGGGTTCAACCATTTTTCATGAAAGTCCGTTAGTTCTATATGTTACAAACATGCATTAGCTTTACCTGTTTATCCATTAGAATGGATAAACAGTTTATCCATTAGAGTGGCTAAACTGTTTATCCATTAGAATGGATAAACAGGTAACAGTAGGTGAGACGTGGGTGGTACACTCTGGACTGGTCTGTCACAGGGCAAACAGACTCATATTCACACACCTAACCTGCATTTTTTTTTTTCTAGTTCCAGTTTTTCAGATAAAAAATATAAATGTCTTTTTTGGTTTTCTTAGTCATATATGGCAATAAATTGGATATCTTTGAGTTTTGGATTTGGACTGATCTTGTCTAGATCAAATGACCGATTGATTAAAATATTCAACAGATTAATCAATAATGAAAATAAGCATTAGTTGTAGCACTAAACTTTGCATTACAATTTATGCATACTTGTTTGCTCAGAGCCTCTCTCTTCTTTTAATCTCTCCTGTGTCTTGCTCCAATCAGAGAGCAGTATTACTGCCCCTTGTGACCAACATCGGTTGCTTATTCAGTTGTAGATTTTGAATGTACATCAGTTTTGAGATCAATTTGCCATACAGCCCTACCAAGTGCCAAACGGGGCGCCTGTCAGGCCTCACAGGCGCTTGACAGAAAAGGAAGAATAAACAACAACAGGACTGAAACACAAACTACTCACAAGAAGATGTTTAACACTTTGATTTGATTTGATTTGATTTGATTTATTCTTTCAAGCATGTAAAGACAGTTGATATATCAACACACATAATTTTACACATATCCAACAAATGCTAATCCAATATCAATGTGCTTATACCTAGTACATGCTTGAATGGAGTAGGAAGAAATCAGACTTATCCAGTCCTACCCCATAACATCATCTTACCATCATTGGTTTGCAAGCAGTATCTCTACAAAATAATTCTCTTCTACACCACACAAGTAATATACTAAAAAATTATAACAGTGTTAACATTCTTACATAATTACATTCTTAAATACTTATCTTCTA